TTTGTCATGGACTGAATTCAATCTCAATTCTGGAAATTCGTGTAATTTTTCGAATAATTCAATAATAGGTACTTTGCTACGAAGAGTAGTAGGTGAGGACAATACGGAGCCCCGCGCTAAAAGGGGATCCCTGATAACTGCATCTTTAGAGAATTTTTTTATTGAAACTACGCAATCATAGTTCAAGTCTCAAAGTTAATAAGTTTAGGAATAATTTTCTCAACGCACTAAAAGGGTGTTCAGTTCCATCCATTCTTCCACGGATAACTTGTATAATTAAGTGATTAAATCAAAGGCTCTATAGACGGTACGGGTCCCGTATTTAGTAATCCGCTACTGCAGGCGCAGGCAGATTTGCATAGCTCTTGAGGCGAGAGAGTGGACCTCACATATCTAACTAGTGACGTCAGCTTACAGTGTCACATCACTGCCAAGTGCCACTGTCTCACAGTCACATTGCTCCCCATGGCGGCTGCCAGCGCTTTCCACATATTCTACAATGTTGCACACAACCAAAACTAAATGTATTGCAGTTTCATCGTTTACCTTGATACTTTTTAGTCCCTGAAAGGGTACTTTTTTCGTTATCATCATCATCAACAGCCCTTGAATGTCCACTACGGGACTATAGGCCGCCAAACTATAACAAAAGAGGGGTTTGTCATAACGTCCAGACAAGCGGGTTGAAAATCACACAGCTTAAACGGATCAGATGTATTAGACTTGTATCTATTTCGATTACAGTAAGGGACTGATAAGTCGACTATTAAGGGGCTGATGTTTTATGACACCCTAATGCCTCACCATACCAGGGCGATGACAAATGCACCTAGGTACTGACAAAGGACTACACTAGTACGTAATGATAAAGGTACCTATTCCACTCTGCCGTCATAATATTTTTCTTCAGTCATGGTGTAAGTCTCATGTAATAAAAGGTGCAATCCTTCAGCTCTGTTCGACTGCGCGGTTGATGCGGTGGCTGGGCGGCCGGCTGCCGTGAACGTGTAGTAGGTTCGATTCCCGCACGGAACAACTATTTGTATGATCCAAAAATTTTTGTTTCTGGTCTGAGTGTCATGTGTATGTGATTTTGTATGAGTGTAAACGTAAACACAGGAGAAAACACAAGCGTAGGGCAACGTCGTTTGAATAAAAACAGCAATATTTTATTCTTTCGATAGAATGTCACCAGGCTGGAAACATCCGTATTACACTTGATGTAGGGTGGCTAGTGTATGTTACTGTGCTGGAAGTATCTGCATATCCTACATTCTCCAGCGAATATTTTCGTGGTTTTCTCCGCTATTAGAGCGTGTTTACAAACACGTGCACACTAGCCGCCACTGAAGTCATTCCAGCCGCTCCTAAATTACACAGATGATTAAATGTTGACATATTTCTAAGTAACCAGTTACTACGAGATTACACTTGCGTAACATTGCTATCTTGATTGCGCGGATAAACACTCTTTAAACGCAAAATGAAATAGTTTTACGTGAATTTTATAATTTTTATTTAATGTTGTCATCTCATTCAGGTTGCTGAGGCGCTTCTAACAAATATATTTGTGGTCACCGGGTCGTATATTATAGCGTAAAAGAATTAGACTTTTTGCTCCTCTTAAGATTAACTTTAGAGTTGAACATATCTAATTGCCTGTCTGCCACCAGTTGTTTTATGGATCCTAGATCTGTGAAGACGAGTCTATTATCATACAGAGCAAATTCGTCATGAAACAAACGATATTGGTAAGAGAATGTCTATAGGTACCTATTACAATTTTACTAACGACCCTGAGATTGAATTGTTGGCCGTAGTCTCATTCTAGACCTTCTGTGAGTCATTCGCATTCATCTATAGAAGATTTTGGAAAATACTAGTTGTAGGTATAAAAGTAATATTGATTATATCCATGAATAAATTATTGTCAAAACATCCGGAGACATTGCGTAGGTGTAAAGCTGTATTTGGACGACACTCATAATAAATTGAATACAAATACACACCACGGTCCGGGAATCGAATCGCGATATAATCGGTGTGGATTACAATGACCTTATTTCAGCGCGTGACTCAGTCTGGGCCAGGAATAGCGGGCCGGCTGCGCGGGCGCACTTACGTCACAACTGCGGACACTTCATCACACACATACACAAGATACAGAGATACTGAATGTGCACATCATGTGCTCGGTCGTAGTCACCCCATAGCACAAGGGGGTGCAATAAATCTCCTTAATGAAGTTCATTTCCGTATAATTCCTTGATGGCGCAATCTCTTGGGAACTTGAACTTAAATAAATCGAATATAAACATGATTTTAGCATGCCAATAGATCGTGATAAGAGATTCATTATTTGTAATAAAGGTTACTTGATTTTTGCGGTAATCAGCCATTCAGAGGAACAGTGTGATAGTATGGCAGCTTGGCTTGGGATGAGAGTCGTGTATGTTCCCTTTGGAACGAAATGCTTCAGGGATTCTTATTTCGATATTTTTAGCAATAGCATGAAGGTTTATGATCGTATTCTAAATCTATATATATACGTATATCTTTATATGTTCTGTACGTATGTACACACAATAAAATAGTAGAAAAGTTAAAACTGTACCTACATTGTATATTTTTTTAAAAGAATACTTGATGATTGCCTGATCTACAATCGATATCGAAGCGAAAATTATAGTACTTTAGAATTTCTGTTTGTCTGTATGTATGTCCGGGCTAAACTCAAAAAGTAGTAGTAATGCGTGAATTTTATTCAAATATTGCATGAATATTGCTAATAGGTTGGGTCAACATAATAAGCTATATTATCACGCTATCACCAACGGGGCAGATGCAATGAATCACTATTCCACGCGAACGAAGTCGTGAGCACAGCTAGTATAGTAATAGGTTCGCATCGTATAGGCTGCCTATAGCAAATTATCATTTATGAGCATAAGAACTTCGCCCTAATCCTTCACTTCTTTTGGGTGATACAAAGCATGATGTTGGATAATTCATTAATCATTTAATGCAATTTTGATAAACGGGCTATCTAAAAATGACATCATTCTGTTCCTTAAAGTAATGTAGGACCTTATTAATGTGTTTGATTTCTGAATAATTCTTCGTTAATCTAGTACTCAGCCTCACAGTACGTAGAAATAGTAAAACAACGTTTACTTCAATTCGAATAGTTGTTTTAAGAGGTAAGCAATAAAGAACTTTATGTAGAGTAATCAAGGCAATTTATGACTTGATTGAAGTTTCGCTATTACTTGAGCAAGTTTTATTACACTCTTTTAAACGTAGTAGTCTACATCGGAATTATTGTTTGAGTAAATTCAAGGATCATCAGTGAGCATAAGTGATGACCAAGACAACTTTTGATTTGATTTTTTTTTAAAGGCGTAAAATCGTCGAATGACTTCTCCCGCCTGGGTGAGGCGGGAGGGAGTGTCAGACTCTTACTGACTAAAACCCATCCCGTTCTTTCTCCTGCACGTCGGTAACCCGATAGGTTCTCCGCGACGAGAAGACAAGAGTACAGTGAGGTAATACACAAGACAACAAGTCTGTTGGACTCTTACAGTGGGAGTAGGTACTGCCTTAGTGTTGATTGGCTGATTTTGAGTCTAAACCTAGATCCATCACGAGATTTTAGATTTATATCATTAATTAATTTCGGCCTTACGTCGGTTCTTACGACATCGGCAAGGCAGGAGTGGCCTGGAGTGGTTATGACAAATATGTGTACCCTGTCGTCCTCACGTGGTCGATATGTTTTTACGTTTCAATGTATATGTTGCAGACACGGCCGGCTCCAGGTTATATGTCAGTAATTCATAGCATCATAAATATTACAGACAACTAATTAATATGACGCGTGCGACATTGAGAGACTTCAATGTCTTGATCTTCAACTGAATATATTTACGATTTGTTGGCGACTGACGGACGTTAATACTGGAATATTTTAATGAAATAATTACTGAAGTAATGACGTACATTATGTAATGAAAGTTAATGGTTATGGCTAATAAAATGATTAATATTGATTTGGCACGATCGTAGTAATGCAGTTTTAGAGTAATATCGGAAAAGTAATGGCAATTATTAAATTGCATTGCATTTACCTACATTCATAAGAATTATCTTATGTATGAATGTAGAAATACATGGTATTTATAGTTCCCAACATTCCAAGTATTATGTATTGGCAGCGCCCATCAGATCAACAATCCCACATGGTCATGTAAACACTCATATGTTTGACCACACTTGATTCAGGTACTGAAAGAGTAACCAGCGGGAGATTAGCGGTGGTGTAGTAATTTTCATTTATTTCACTATGCTACCAATAAATGAATACAGCATCTCAACAGCGGGTGTTACCAGGGTTGTATGCAGAAATAAAATTACAGTTAAGAGATGTGGGTAGAGGGTAAACGGCAGTCGTTTCGTGTAAATACTGAGAACCAACTCAATACAAATAATTTGTACAACTGATCTAATATCTCCAAAGATTTTGGATTGATGTCGCGAGTCCGAAAGAAACGCGTTTCTGTCAAAAATCAGGATAGATTCAGAGGTTTTTGATTAAGGTTGGTTGTTAATTTCAGTTGCGAGAAGACAAGTCAGTAAGAGATGTTGAGACGGTGTGTCTGACTGACGCAACTGTTGCAATATTGATATTCTCGGGTACTTTCGTGTATCAAGAGATGCGTGTTCCATCGACAGCTTCCTCTATTCTGTGAACAATTCAAACGTAGTCTCCGGTTTACCGCGAAATCCAGCAAATGACGGCTCGTGGTTTCCTTCCACTCGACCTTAACATGTTGTGTCCTACTCTACCGTGCTGTCTCGCTCGTTAAGTTGTACTTGAATGTTTGTGTTAAGTGAGCCAGTGCCTTTCACTCCGCGGGAGAAACCAGCGGCATGATGCGCGCGAGTACAAGCGTCTTGTAGTACCTAGTGGTATATTGTGACGATATTATAGTGTAGTGACAATGTGGTACCGATGTAGTCATCTCAGACCAAAGCTGTTGTGTTTACTGTATATTGTGTTTAATAGTGTCGGTAAGTTAGCTAAACATTAGTCACAACTTGTGCGAAGTTTCGATCGTATCCTGATCAACTGGTTTTGAGTTGATTTCTCTATAAATAGTTGTGATTGTTTATAACGAAATCACGAGTTAAAAAGATTTGTTTACAATAAAATGAAAGCAGTCGTTTAGTAATGTAGAGGATTAGGTAATGTGTAAAGAAAAGGTGTGACCAACTGCCGAGTTATGAGCTGCAGCGCCTGTAGCTTTCCAATACTAGAGTAGAGAACCTAGGTACTTGCGCAAGGCTACTGGTTGAAGTGTAATTGAACTGAATTTGTATCAATAATATGTCAGAATGATACAAGTATTATTTATACTACTTATACATAACAATACGTAATGTAAGTAACATGAGGCTGCAACAAACAGCAACGGTTCAATCGATCATTGACAGTACCAGCAAATATGTACTTTGTTGGTAAATGACTCAGAATAAACTTTCGAAAGTGTATTATTTCTTTTGTTGAACAATTACAATTACAATAAGACCCAACATGTCTGAAGGCCGGCCGGGAGTCGAACTAGTTGTGATTGCGCTCACGTCGCGGAGACAGGGGCATAACTGGACACAGGCACCATACCGTTGCATAATATATTATGTCAGTGTGTATGAGGGACTTGTGTATGTGTAGTGTTCACTCATAACACAACATAACATTTCTACTGTTGTTTTTGTTTTCGGATGGGGTTGACAAAGGGTAGTTTCCTAGTAACTCGCCTTTTAATAAGGATAGACAGCGTCTTCCAGTAGAGGTACATAACTTGAGTTACGTAAATACTAGGCTTAGTGGCTTTAATGCTAGTATTTTGAAATGAACCAAATATTGTAACTATACATAGATAAAACTATTATAGGAGAGCCGTAACTTAGGTATACATTGAAGTTCCTTTGCAGAAATATCAAAATGTCTGGTACTGCGCGCGTACCTATCGCAGCATGGCCTGCACGGCGAGCTGGAGTTCTCTCACAAGAACAACACGCTCATCAGCATCAGAACCAATTTGAAGCCCACACTCCAGTACCCTGACGGAGTCTGGCGGTGGACCATACACGAGTTCCCCGTCGACTACAGGGACCTGTCCGAGGACAGGTGCTCCGACGCTAACTTGGGGCAAGAAATAATTGATCTCACTGAAGAATTAGGCTACCTCATAATACCGGGTAAAGACCACGCAGAGTTCGAGAGCAAAAACACATTGACAGGCCCGAACGGTCTCTGGGGCAAGAGTATAGTGTTCGAGACAGCAGAGAGGGACAGAGTGATCTGCGCGTCCATATTAGCGACAGACAAGACTTACGAGAAGAACGCGATAGCGAGGTTCACGTCCCCAGTCGCCGGCGCCCTGCACTTCAGGTGGCTCTCAGCGAGGGAGTCGGACGAGTCAGACTCGTACATCCAAGCAGACCTGTACCACACCAAAGCTGTGTCAGACAAAGCACAGTTCACAGAGCACAAGTGGAAGCTATTTGTGACGGACATCTTCGACGCGGACAAGGGGAACTACGAGGACAACTGCAATGTTCTGCAGCTTGTGTTTGATCCGGAGAATAGTGGAGACGGGATGAGTGTGGGGGATTTGGACAGCAGGCTGGGGCTCATCAAGGTGGCGACGGACGCCAACATCATGAAGACCAAGACGTTGTTCAAGGATGAAGTGATCAATGTGCTGCGGAGCGACATGGAGGTGACGCGCCGCAGCCTCTACGTCGTCATATACGACAACCGACACCCTGACAGCTTCCTCGCCTGCGCCAAGCTCAGGCCTATGCTACCTAAAAGCACTAAGTAAGTAACCATTATATGCTTCGCAACTTATTCTTAAATATGTTGTATTGGTCTAGTGAACTATCACCACATGTCATGTTCTAGTACACAATGGGACCTCCTTATTAGGTGGCAGCTGGAAACTGTATATGACTGAAACTTTATAGATGAAGGAGATTATGTTACTTCCTAGTATGCTTCCTAGAAATGTTCTTTGTTCGTAATATGTATTGAGATGTAGAATATAACAATTAGTGTGAATAGTTGGCGTGCGTTATTTAGGTTTGTAGTCAAGGAAGTGATTTTTGAGCGAACGTTTGGTCACTGGTCATTGGCATGCTCTCAAATATGTAGATATTAATACTTCACTTTCTAATCATTTATATCGTTATAGAAATATTTTTGTATATCTACTACTATCAATAGTGGAAGGCACTATTTTTGAAGTTAAAACAGTTTGCTTAATTCTAGGAATTTTCACAAACGAGGAGGAATGATAGAATTAACAACTTTGATTGTACACAATATTCATATATTGGTTCTAAATTACCTGAATTCATATGTTACTCGTTAATACACTTAGTATCAGCATCATCATAACATCACGCCTTTTATCCCCGAAGGGGTAGGCAGAGGTGCACATTACGGCAATTAATGCCACTGCCCAATGTAACACCCACTTTTCACTATTTATATTATGAGTCCCATGTAATAGGGGGTGAGCTTATTGCCATATACTGGACACATTTCCAGATTCCGTGCTACTACTGAGTTTTTATCAATTAACCCAGTAACACTTTGACCGACCCGGGAATCGAACCCGAGACACCTTGCCTCATTGGCAGAGTAATCGCAAGTGCGACTGCCGGCACTTGCGATTACTCTGCCAATGAGCCACTCATACTTAGTATCAATGAATGGTCTTGGCAAGGCTAGATCCAGCAGTGGATGGAATCCCTAATAAGACAAGGAATCAAGAATAAATATAAAGACGCATAACAAATTTATATTATTCCAGAGCTCTAATCAACATGGAGGGCATCCGGGGCTCTATAGACTTCACGCAGCGCTCCCCCTTCGACCCAACCTGGACGAACTTCCAGCTGGGTGCAGCTGACCAGGACTACGAGTCCAACCTTCGCTTCGTGAGCTCCGTCTTGCAGTACAACGTGCGGGACCTGCCGCCGAGGCTGGTGGCTGATGACGTGCAATCCTACTGCAACACTACCAGTGACATCTATAACCCTACTCGAGTGGATTTGAAGAACCTGCCACCTCCAGGTGAGACAGTTGTAATTGAATAGTAATTAGTAATACATACATACAGGACAGTACAGGTCATCTGTACTGTACAGTACTATAAACTACCGATTGTAGAAGTGGATACATATTAGCATATAATATATAGTTTATGCTATAGTTAATGTATTCTATATAAACAATGCCCCTTGGTGGACAGTACGGTTCAGTTCACAATAACCATTTGTCCCTACTTGTGTTATTGATATAAGGTTCTCGCAATCAGGGAGCAACACAATGTTTAATTTGGACATTGTGCTTGTTACTTTTTCCGAGAAGTATTGGATAATCCGTTCAGACATTTTGTAATACAGTTTGCTAAAAATATTCATCATAAGTGCAAAGTATAAACTGTTTTTTGATACAAAATTGAACCTTGTAGGTTAACTCGTTAACACCTGGGATCACCCGCTCGATACAAAACACTAGAACATTCAATCCGAAGTAAACAATTCCAGAGAGATTATAGTTGTGTCGATATATTCATACACGGACGGTTTTATTTCAGTAGCTCGGCTAAAAATACTCCGTGCCATAGTTCAGTCGACAGGAATAGATCTCTGTTGTATTATGTAGGTCTGTGAGATTCCCGCTCAGGAATTTATTTCTCAAGTTATCCAACTGTTCATCTACAATACATGGGAACATTATGTGTGCTCGGAAGTTGAACCTAGACTAGCGTAGCAGTACAACATTTGTTTTATAGTTATCGGTGCAATGTGCACAAATGTTTGAAAGACTTTGAAACTACCCCGGCTTACTATCAAGAGTAGATTTGAAGTGTTGTAACAACTATTAATTTTCTTATTAATGCGGAGAAATGTGTGATTATGAATTTATGTAGATAGTTTTTCTCTGATAGATGGTAGATATGTTGGTAGCGAGCCAACTAGCCGAGCTGTGGTATCTAGCGACCAAGCCAATATGTTCTTGTTTACAGCGCATCGCTCGCTGGGATGACGTGGACAGAGAGACCGCGTTTGTTGCCAAAATAACTGACAAATCACTTTCAATATGACAATTGTCTGAATGCTTTCCATTAAATAGATTCAATATTTTGGTGCCGTGTTTAGTTTAGATATTTAAACGTGGCTTCGTTGATGAATATTGTACTTTGTAAACACTAGCATAACTACTGGAAGTTACAGATCTATTTTAAGTTGACCAATGAAATTGTTTAAAATGTAAAAGCAGCCATATTTAAATACAGTTGTATTTAAAAAACTATTTAGGTATTATGGCACTAAAATTAGAAGCTCATAGGAAAGATTACTAATTGTACCTACTCTTGACCAAAGTGCTTGTATGATAAAATGTATGAATGTAATAGAAAGATCAAGAAGTATGCAAGAGTCGTAATAGTTAGCAATTTAAACTTTGAATCATTTGTATATATAGACTCCTTGTTGATCATCCGCAGGTATGGGCACACAGGACCAGTATCCAGTAGGACACCTGCTGGGCAAGCACAAGGACCGCACGGAGTACCTGAACCATAAGTACCTGCTGCCGGGGCTGGCCAGCGAGCTCAGCGGCGCCTACTGGGACGTCTACCTGCCGCTGCAGGGCGTCCACAGCGTCGTGCACAGAGCCATCGTCGTTGAGAGGTAGCAGGATACTGTTACAATTAATGTTGGAGCGCCTTACGCATCATGTTGAAGAGTTACACAATGATAGATATGTCATTTTGCTGGAAGATCTGTGCTGAACAAGCAGTATTCCTTTAGCCCTCCACAAATGTAACGCCTGGAAATGGCTTTTGACTTAAAGTACTCGCTAAAACTGTAGATCATCATCAGCCTGTTACTGTCTCACTGCTGACAAAAAGAGAAGGGGTATAAGCATATATCACCACGCTTGTTAAGATACCTAGATATGACTTTTATCCTCTGGAGCAAACATCACCTGCATCTGAGTTATTATATTAGATCCGTAAATAGCTCCCACATACACATCGCCTGAAATAGGATAACTGTGAACCTTGACTGCTTCAATGATTTAATGGATAGGTACACCTTCAAACCCGTTACTAACTATTATTGTTGGAATATTTTGGAAACTGAACACAACTAATGTCAATGTTATTCATTTAACTGTTACTCAATTTCCTTTGTTAAAATTTTTATTCTAGGCGTTTACTAAGTAAATTGAGTCTGCGAAACCGATAATCTTATTAAGTAAGGACTTCAGGAACATTTTCTTAAGGCTGAGCTGAACTAAGAGTAACAACCTTTGTTTCAATATTTGCTTTGCAGACGAGAACCAAAGCGTAACGTGTGCGGTACCATCTTACTGTACGAGGCGGACACGGAGTACCAGACCCCGATGTTCTCGGCGCAAGTGATATTCAGGTACCCCATTGTGGGCCGCGTCGTCTTCCGCCAGCCACAGGACAGACCCTGGGAGGACACCACCATCATCATTGAGAGCATGGTCAGTATGACATTTTTTGTCGATAAGTGACGCGAAAGTAGAATGTATTTGTCATCACACCGCCACTGTCTCCTAACTAGGGAATAATACATTTAATAGAGCTGAGCTAGAGACTAAGCTGAAGCGCTTTCTGGTAAACCTCAACCTTTTAAACACCGGTTTCCAAACCGCCCGATAAGTGGAATTTTTGGTGATCCCTTTTGTGCAGATTGCGGTCCTGCGTACATTGTTAACGGCTGTGGACGATATGCTTTTTCGATTACGTAGTGTTTGTCATGTTGTATATTATCTTCAGGTCCACGCAGACGGAGCTAACGTGAACAACACGCGCGACCACCGCTGGGCCATCCACGAGCACGCCCCAGGCGCGGACTACTACAACTGGACGGGGCGCTGCCTGAGCGCGGGCCGGGTGTTCCAGCCGCATGCGCTCGACATCGACACTAGGCACCCGGAGTCATACTGCCGACCTGGCCTGGAGGGGCTCTGCAGGCTTGGCGACTTTACCACCAGGTACTAACACTAAGACTGTATACAACTAGACACCTATAAGTTGGCTAATAATTAGTTACTGATTACATACTTATTTATCGAAATTAATAAGTGGGCAATATTGGTAATACTTTCTCGAACCGTAACTTCTTCCCTGGCAGTCTCTTTTCAATTATAAACAACAATATTTTGCTCTGGTTCGATTAACTCTACAGATTGATTTCCGCAGTTGGAATTAGTTAAGGTTACATATTTTGAATTACCTACCTTGATTTCCCTACCATAGCTTTTCAGTAATTTTGAGCACGTTGATCACTAATTACAGGCACGGCATGTTGGAAGTGGCCGGCAAGAAGGTGGACTCAGCGCGTCTGACGCGGCGGCTCTTCACTGACACGGTGATATCTCTGGCAGGGAAGCACTCCATCATGAGGAAGTCACTGCTCATCTATGATGACCACGGTCCCGTCGCTCGAGGGGAGCGCATGGCTTGTTCCATGTGAGTATATTTTATTTTAAATTATATTATTCTTAAGTACTAAACTAAGTTTTCATTCAAAATTGATGATTAAATGATTTTCGATTGAGCAAGAAATATTATATAGTTGAAATTGCTATGAATTTTTTATAGGCGCTTACCCTATGGTACCTTCGTGAGAATCTAAACTACAGTTCCGTAATGTCCAATTAAATATCTTTTAATTAATTATCCGTTACCAATCGTATTTGGTAATACCTACTTAGTCAGTAGAAGTGTTTCGAAAAAAGAAACTAGATTTAATTTAGAACTGTTTGGTTCATGAGATTATTTTTACAGTTACATAAGAATGAAATAAATGCACGAACTCATTACGTAGTTAATTTATGGGAAATGCCAAACAAGCAATCAAATCATCTGATGGTAAGCAATCGACACCGCCCAAGAACACCTGCAACACAAAAGGAGTCACAAGCGCGTTACGGGCCCATTCTCTGGAAGTTAGTATTTGAGAATTGACAATATGTCCATTATTATACTCAGTGTGAACGGGCTACACCGTCGTAAGGCAGTAGTACGGGACTGGTTCGGTAACGGGGAGCCAGCACCATTGAAGGGCCGCATCGAGATGACGCAGCAGTCGGAGTACGACATCACCAACGTCATGGTCACACTCGACGGACTCGTCGACGTCACAGACTACAAGATACACGTGGTTAGTATTGTATGCTGTTTGATTTATCTTTACGTTAAAAGACAACTTGCATATAGGTATTGACTATTGGCTTATGTTTTGAATCAATTTATTGCAATGCTGTTATGATGACCTCTTGTTCACCATATTTATCACGCTGGTCAACATAAAGACAAAACTTAGTCTGTCATTTTAAAACAGAAAATAGAGAGATAGTTGTAGCCAGAAAAAAGGAAGTCTGAATTAATCTATCGTTAACTCTAACGACATTGTTCTACCTGCAGGTGCCAGTAGAGCGCGACCTGGAGTTCCCCTGCGAGAAGACCACGCTGTACGACACGTTCAACCCGTTCCACATCAACAGGTCCCTCAGCCCACCACCCACTAAAGGTATTGTGTCAACTGGAGACATTTTACCACACTGTCTCAGTATAGATATCTGCAGATTTGCTTACTAGAGAGTCTTTAGACACAGGATAGCAGTCACTTAACGATAAAGCAGGGCATTATCAGGTCCTGATCAATGCATTTTAATATAAATATTGTCATTGTTAATATAAACTTTATTCAGGTACGGCGGACCAGTACGAGCTCGGTGACCTGGGCGCTAAGTACGGGATGGTGGAGTCCCAGTCACTGACCACATTCTTCAACGAGACACAACTGTCTCTGTTCGGGCCATACAGTGTGCTCGGAAGATCCGTTGTGTTACATAAGAAGGTAAGGAAGTGATCAGATAGACGTAATTTCGGTCATAATGTAAGCATTACTTTGCTCTTAAAGTAATATATACTCACGCCAGCCTTGTAGTTAGGTATTTATTAAGAAAAATCAGCAACTGATTAAGACAGGAGACTTTTTCAAATTCTCAGATAGGTAGAATATAATGTATTGGAGTTATTATACAGTTTTTGTTCTATTTTACAGAAACACCGTCGCTGGGCATGTTCCTCCATTGAGCGTGGATACAGTCCATCCGAGGCCCGGGAGTTGCGCGCCATCGCATCGTTCCATCACCCGGGGGGGTTCGCCACCGGGTACATTCGCTTCACACAGCTTATACACAACGACGGCAGTGCCAGCGACACTGTTATTGAAGTCAAATTGAGGCATCCTGGCGTCCGGGATACCAATGTGGTAAGGATATATTGACAATCCAGTATCCTTCTCGTTACTCTGCTTAAGAATCTACGCTTTAGACTGAGAAGCTGCGCTGATGATCGCTGATAGACATTGTATTTTATTTAACGATTTAAATAAAATGTTATGGCAAAGATTTCAAGAACACCTACGTCTAAAATCTTAAGTCCTAAAATTCTTCTCTCAGAATATCTGCGGTTATAAGTGAATCTAGTTATCTGCTCATTGAATGACTGTGATGTGATTGGTTGCAGACTCTGAACCACAACTGGGCGATCTTTGTAAACCCTGTAGGCGTGGACGCGGCAGTGAAGGTGACCAACACACGTTGCGTCGCTGGAGGGTACAGGTGGAACCCTTACTTCACACAGTTAGCGGACCCACTCAATGTAAGTATAACCTGACACATCAGGTATTATTACAAAGAAGTGGAGATGCAACAAATATGAAGAAATACTAATTATGTATTTTGTTGTGAACAGCACGACCTGTACAACCAAGAGTGTGGGCCGGACAACCCACTGCGGTGTGACGTCGGAGACCTCACCGCGAGATTGGGCACTATCAGTAAGTTGCACCATTTTAGAGTCCAGCATTACATTCTGATTTTTATAAAATTACCGTTCAATAGTGTATTTTAAATAATGTCCGAGGCTATTTAATCAGTGAGTCCTCGAAAAACAATATATACTTTGACCAAATACCTTAAGGCTCCAAAGTCCAAATTCACTCCTCTTCTCATTATTATGAACTCAAATATTGAACTCAACGAAAGAATGTAACCAAAAATTGTATTGTGAACCTGATTGAAAAAGAGTAAACTATGGAGTTTCTTGCTCGTTCTTCTCTATAGGAATCTACACTTTGGAACGAGCAAATAGCTTCACTAGAGGACTGACCTACAGACTGTCATTTTTTCTTATTATTTAATATTTAAATATTTTGTTTTGACGTTCAAAAGTGCCTTCCTGGTCTAATTGAAATAAATGATTTTGACTTTGACTTTGACTTCTTCTTCCAGACGTAGGCAGCAAGCGTCAGATGTTCATGGACAGTAACTTCCCGCTGGAAGGCACAGTGAGTGCGGTGGGACGGTCCATCGTCATCTTCGGGCCGGAGAGGAGCTCGGAGCGGTTCGCGTGCGCCAACATCGAGCCCGACAAGGACATCATCAAGTATGTCAACATCATGAAGCCGCCCAGATTCGTACTGTGAGTATATTAACTGTTGAGTATGTACAAGTTATATGTATTTTGTTTATACTTTACAAAAGTAATGTTATCAGTCCGCGTAGGTAATAGGCGTCTTTAACAACCAGACCTAAGAGATTTTGGACCACACGAACATTTAGAATTGAACCAGTGATACATTGTGTAGCAGATAGTCTGACCAACCATGTAATACTTCTAAGTATTATTTTCGAAATTATTACAATATAACATAACACGCTTTTTATCCCCAAAGGGGTAGGCAGAGGTGCAAATTACAGCACCTAATGCTACTGTAAGTACATTATTCTCACATGTGTGTACAATATTGGAATATGTATCAGAGCAATGTAAAACAGACTTTTTTTAAAAGAGTAACGAATGGAGTTTCTTGCTCGTTCTTCTCCACTCGAATCAACATTTTGGAACGAGCGCCTAGCTTCACTGACGGACAGACTGACAGACTAATTATTTATTTCATATTTGTTGACGTTTCAAAAGTAGCAAATTATGGTTTAATTGAAATAAATGCTTTTGAGTTTGAGAATGTAACACCCTCTTTTCACTGTTTATATTATGAGTCCCATGTAATAGGGGGTGAGCGTATTGCCATATATCGGGCACAATTCCAGACTCCGTGCTACTGCACAGAATATTTTAAAAACGACCCAGTGATACTTTGCTCGACCCGGGAATCGAACCCGAAACCCGTTGCCCGGCAGTCGCACTTGCGACCAATCGGCCAACGGGGCAGTCTCACAAGTATTACTAGTCAAGCAGTTTAATAAGATACTAAAGGCACTCAACTCCATTATGAATGATTGTTGACTAGTTTTGTGTGCTTGGCTTCAGTAACTGTTAGTTTAGAAGGGATGGTGTTTGTGTTGCCAGTGGCATGTTCCTGGAGGACATGCGGCGCGTGATGGGCGTGCCGGAGTGGATGATGTCGCTGGACGCGCGGCGCACGCGCACGCTGCACGGCGGCTCCTGCATACAGCTGCTGCTGCACTTCACCGGCCCACACGCCAACAGACTCGAACTGGATTTCACCAAGTTAGTACCAAGTGCCTGCTTCACTTCCATACACATGACAACCAGTATTTGTCTGATTGAATACTCGACGATGTCCAGCTGTTTCTCTGATAAATAGAATTAAAATCTGAAATATTTAGTCTTCATCTAGTCTAATAATTGACTGCACGGTTGATGCGGTGGCTGGGCATCCGGGTGTCGTGCAACGTGTCGCGGATTCGATTCCCGCACAGAACAACACTTTGTGTGATCCACAAGTTGTTGTTTCGGGTCTGGGTGTCATTGTGTATGTGAACTTGTATGTTTGTAAACGCACCCACGACACAGGAGATAATCCTAGTGTGGGGCAACGTTTTTTATTAAAACAAAAAAAAAATATTAACAACATTTTTTTAACCAACTGTTCGACGTAAGTTTATTTAAGCTTTAAATTACACTGCTAAATTAAAATTCTATAATTGAATACCATTTTTTGTTATCAAGACACCCTAAAATATGTAAAATACGGATCGTAGTCCGCATTCTAGGGAAAAAATGAAAAAATAATAAAAAAATACATTTCATTAATTACGGATATTATATGTACACAAAACAAAATTATCATAATAACTTTTTAAGCAAGAGCATGCTTGTGGTAGGACATGAGCTGAACAGAGATTTCTTCAAAAGAATAACGTTGCTTTGGGCAGTCAGTTAATTTATTTATTTAGAGGATCACCGACATAAATACAGCAATATTGCACAATGAAAATATTTTTGACTTATAAAATACCTTAAGACTATCTGTATTCACAATTATAGGTAACTACAGCATGCATATAGCTTTTTAACTTATATTATTATAAAAGAGATAATAAAAATTCGGAAAAATTTAGTACAAAATAAAATAAAAATTAAAATTTATAAAAAAAAATTAAACTCAGCAAAGGCAAATAAAAAAAAAAACATAAAACCAGTAGGTAATGTCAACCTCAAGCTAAGGTACGTCACTCTCTCTGATCATTCTCAAGAACTTAGGGAAACGCTGAAGGTGAATGTCAATTCCCGGCAATGTACTTAATGAGTTAATGAGTGCGATGTTAATCCTGATGATGTTTCCAGATTACTGGCATCAGGTCGACTGGACTCGCCCACTATCTTCATCCCCGGCTACGTGAACACCAAGAGGAAGAAGACCATCTCCTACAGACAGTGCGGCACCACAGACCCTAATGATAGGAAAAGTAAGTAATCACTTTCATCTCATACTAGTGGCGCGCCCTGGTTTCGCCTGATTGTCATTTATCAACAATCTCTTTCGTCTTTCAACCAAAACCTTGTATTATTGTCCTTACAGTAACGAATACAACGAAAAGAAATCCATATCCAATTTAATCAAGCAGTTCGGTAGTTACGCGCGTACATACATTTAGGCTAATTGTGACGACGATTTTAAACATTGTGGATTTCATGTGTCTTGTAATTGTATCTGTATATCTTCTGCTCATTTCTTTCTTTTGAAGAGATGGAGAGATAAGGATTTAATGAAATAATAATTTGTCTCATCATCACTTCTCTCGCTTGTGTGAGGTGAGAGGGAGTATCAGACTCATCATCATCATCATCACATCAACAGCCTATAAATAGCCATTGCTGAGCAAAGCCCCTTCTCACACGGAGAAGGTTTAAGCATTGATCACCACGCTTGTTCAATGCGGGTTATTATAATTTTTCTCACAAAAAACTAATCAATATACATTTTAATTTGTACCCCCATACAAAGTCACTGCGTACAGCCGTCTGGCTGTGATCGGGATTTAATTTGAAAATGCTTTCAGCATACAGCAGACATGTACCAGATACCACCCTCGCTCTGTGCAATACATAATGTACCTGAAGTTTTCACATAGGTACTGTTTACCTGCCGGACTGTTACGGGATGAATCATCTATTACGACATTTTTGCAATTTGCCGGGTCCACTGTACCAGTTATTAAATTGAACATAATAATGCCAAAGCTTTAATCCTCTAATTAGAAGGTACCTTTATGTGCTCCAGATAATATACTGTGACGAAAAAACTAAGCTATATTTAGACGAAAACTGAGTGATTAACGAAGCATAGATAGATTTGTCCCTCCCACTGATTGATTTATGTGCCCTCCGAATAAAACGTCGGGGACTGAGTCATAGTAGGTCAAGGTCACGAAGGGTCATATAGAGAAGTAGGGTAGGACAAGTTAGTGTTGGCGTGCTCATCGATCCAAACATTATTATTATAAGGAAACAAGGAAATAATTAAATGACATTACGTCACGTCTTCTAATTGCCGAAGCGGTACAAGATGAGGTAAATATCTAATAATATAGAGAATTAATAAGCAAACGTACAATTTGAGACTGCCTCGTTGGCCGAGTGGTCGCAAGTGCGACTGCCTGGCAAGGGGTCTCGGGTTCGATTCCCGGGTCGGGCAAAGTATTACTGGGTTTATAAAAATCTCAGTAGTAGCACGGAGTCTGGATATGTGCCCGGTATATGGCAATAGGCTCACCCCCTATTACATGGGACTCATAACATAAATAGTGAAAAGTGGGTGTTACATTGTATAGTGGCATGAAATGCCGCAATGTGCACCTCTGCCTACCCCTTCGGGGATAAAAAGGCGTGATGTTATGTTATGTTGTTACAATTTGAGACTCCGTGTTATCTAAGAATTTTCAAAACATCGAAAAGAGCCAATATTAATTTGATGTGTACGACTCTAACAATAAATAATTGTGGATGTCCAGTAGCAGACAGGAACGGACTAATGATAAATAATGAATGTAAGCCGAACATAATACTGGCGCGGTGGGTTGTGCTCAGCAATTTATTTTCAAGTTCTATGATAAGTACTCGTCACGCGACGAGGCGCGGGTTTTATCAAATTGTACAGAACTGTAGAGTAATTAATTTAAACACATAAACTATTCACGTGTTATTGAGCTGGCGTTTACACGTTACGAAGGGAAGTTTATAGTTTCGATAACAGATTAGGTTTTATTTATATTTGTTGCGTTTTAAAGTTACATATACTCAAGTTGTATAAATATAGCAATCTCCAGGAATTAAATACGGTTGCTGACTAGGAAAAGAATGTAAATTTTTTCAAGTTCTCATTCTGGTCAGTAGTTAAGTAATAGACGTAAGTTTATGTTCACCTGAACCCTTCTGAACAGTCAGACGTATCACGGTCCTGTTCACAGACTTGGTTACGTTTCGGAATATTGTCTAAGGTCAGGGTTACTCAGGGTTGACGTTTAAGAATGAATTGTTTGCAAAACTTCGTTCCAACAGTTTAGTATTAGGAAATTCTCAAATTGCCCAGATGGCCACACCCAGCTTCCTTGCGCCCTGCAACATTGTAACTACACTGTCGACTACAGACATATGCAGTTGTGTGCAGTGCTTTGTGTGATGTGGCACCACCGCGGGACGCATGCGCGGCGTCCCTCCCTGGATCAATAACCTTAGGTATTCTGTTTGTCTAGCACATAGCTTTGTTTGTGGTGACGGATTCATCACGTGGGCCCCGTAGCCTATTCTATTGAGACATTGAGAGGCTCTCTATCTTAACCCAGGAAGTACATATCACGTCAACAGCCTATAGTAGCCACTACTGAGCAAAGGCCACTTCTCACACGGAGAAGATGCAGCCATTAATCACTACGCTTGATCAACACGGATTGCCGATTTTAAACTTATAATTTGAAATTATAACCTCTGGTTTCTTAATCTTAGAAATAAGGCACACATTATATCATAACCAGGAAAAAGGAGAAGCCGGACTTTTGGACTATACCGGCATGAAAGTACATTGCTTCACTTCAGTGCCAGTTCGATTGAATCCTTCTTTCTCGGATACCTTGTAAGCACTCCAATGAGGAGATAATTGAGACAAGTTTAAGTACGCGAGGTCCCCCGTAGCGTGGGGCCCGTAGTGAAAGCTACCCTTGCTCCTCGGTTAGTCCAGCACTGTCTGTCTGGCTTAGTACCTATGTGTCTATGTAGTGGAAGCTCGGGGCTCGGGGCCGGCCGGTCGATGCAGCGACTGCAGCGAGCCACGGAACATTTCATGGTTTGAAATGTATTGTTTTAATGAATAAACTTGAAATGAAATGAAATACGTTTATTCAGCAAAAGACATGCACGCCAGAAAAGACATATAAATATAAAAAGTATAAAAACAGAAAAATTAAAAGATAACAGGTAAATTATAAAACTAAAACAAGCCAATAATTCAGGTGCGCGGTGTTGGTGGACATAAACTTATTGTTTAGACAACAGTTCAATGTTTCCAATGTTTATGATAATGTGGATAGGGGTATATTTATATAGTTAGGGGCAATGTTTTATTATTTATAATATCATTGGTTAGGGGGCTGTACACGTTTTGATTTGATTAATATATATACAATACGTCCAGAGACTGCTGCTAACATTCTTCAAATCTTTCTAATTAGTGTTAGATATTAAAAACGGCATTTTATTTATTTATTTATTTAGAGGATCACCGACATAAATACAGCAATATTGCACAATAAAAATATTTTTGAATTAAAAAATATCTTAAGACTATCTGTATTCACAGTTATAGGTAACCACAGCAAAAAATTCAATTGAGTATAAATTAAAAAAATTTATCAAAAAAAAATCAAACTTAGCAAAGGAATCATCAAGGAAGCATCTTCATTGAGACGCTTTTCTTTTAAAGCAAAAAGTTCAACTGATGTCGCACGTGTAGCATAAATTATGATGTGGTTTACAACACAACGCAGTACCGATGTCCATGGTGGTTACACCATAACAAATAACAACAACAGCACCTATTCAACAGGCTCATAACTCGAGACGCTGGCGGCTCGCCAGAACGTAACACTGATCCTTACCCGACTGACGCAAATTCCTATAAATCGTAGTACGCGTGTTCCTTACCTACCACAATGAGACAAACTTCTCACTCAACAGGTTTTGGCAGCTCCTTTATAAAGGGACTACCTTTTACCCGCGGCTTCGCTCGCGTCACAAAAGGATAAAAGTAGCCTATGTGACATATACCGATACACACAGCGCCATCTATACCAATACTTTTGTTTTCCCTCGAAAAATATAAAATTTTTCCGGGATAAAAAGTACCCTATTATTTAATCCAGACTTCTAACTTTACGTCTGCAAAAATTCAAAGCAATCGGTTTAGTAGTTACGGCGTGAAAGCGGAACAAACAAACAAACTCACTTTCCAATTTATAATATTATATAGTAAGGATTTGTTTACATACTTTATACTATCTTCTGACAGCGGCTTCGCTCGCGTTCCCGGGGGTGAAAAACAGCCTATGTTATATTCATCCAGACTTTAATTTACCTGTCGCGGAGAACCTAACGGGTAACCGGGGCTCGGGCTCGACGTGCAGGAGAAGGAACGGGGTGGTTTTTAGTCAGTAAGAGTCTGACACTCCCTCCCGCCTCACCCGGGCGGGGGCAGTCATTCGATGATTTTCCCCCCTTAAAAATAAGACCTTAATCTACTCTGTTCCAAATGTCATCTCGGTCCCTTCAGTCGTTTTATTGTGACTTATGCCGGAATACTGAAACGTTACTTAATTTTAAGTCGTGCTCAAATATCCTGCCATCTCTGTCATTTTACAAAGAATTGTAGAGATAGAACTATACTTAAGCACGACTTAAAATTGAGTAGCGTTTCAGTATTCCGACATTAGTAACAAACATTCACAAAAACTCATAAATTTTCGCATTTATAGTAGCGGTTCAAGCTAATATCGACCATCGGCCCTACAGTTACAGCGTAAAGTCCACTGCGGATTACTCAACATTCGACAACTTTATATTTGCGTTTGTTACAGTAACTGTGTTTAAGGATTGAGCCATACAATTAAGTTTGTTTTTTCGTTTCGAGATAAAAAGTACCCAGTGTTGTGCCTAGGATATTAAAGTATAATCATGCCAAGTTTCATCGTAATCGGGCCAGTAGTTTTGTGTGATACGTGAACATATAGACAGACAGACAAATATTTTTTTAATCACATTTTCGCGTTCGGTGTCTATCTAGTAACACCCCTATTAAACGACTGGCTCGTTGGCCGAGTGGTCGCAAGTGCGACTGCCTCGGGTCTCGGGTTCGGCCAAAGAAATACTGGGTTTTAAAAAAATCTCAGTAGTACCACGGAGTCTGGAATTGTGTCCTGTATATGGCAATAGACTTACCCCCTATAACATAGGACTCATAACATAAATAGTGAAAAGTGGGTGTTATATTGTACAGTGGCATTAAGTACTATAATGTGCACCTCTGTTTACCCCTTACCCCTAAGGGGTGACGATATCTTATGTTATGTAAAAAAGTAACTCATGCGAATGGGGCTTTATTGTATTAAAACAACTTTTGTAATTACAGAGAACTCGTACTTCTTCTCATCGAACCGATCATCAGCGACAGTGACGTCACGAGCCCACGCGCTGCTACTGCTGTGGTGCGTGGCTCTATGGTTACTGCGGCCCTAGCCTAGTGTAGCCTGGCCTAGTGCGGCCTGGCCTAACGCGGCCTGGCCCAGTGTGGCCTAGCCTAGCTCTAGTTGTGGAAGACTCAATGATACCAAACTGTACATAAGTATTTAATTATACATTCCTTGTTACAAATATCTGTTTTATTATTACTTTTACCCTTACTTCTGTCATAGTAGGTACCTCGTGGTAGTTGAAGCGACAGTCACGGAAAGCTGTCTCTCCAAATAAGTATGTATCACTACATAGTATAAAACAAAGTCGCTATCCGCCGTCTGTCTGTCCCTATGTATGCTTCGATCTTTAAAACTACGCAACGGATTTTGATGCTGTTTTCTTTTATAGATAGAGTGATTCTTAAGGAAGATTTATATGTATAATACATGCATAAGGCACCCGTGCGAAGCCGGGACGGGTCGCTAGTACAGTATAATGAAATGACACAATGGGAGACAGGCGTGAAGTTATGTATGTATGTAGGTATGTATGTGCATTTGTTTGAATAAAAGGCAAACAAGTAATACATATAAATACTTATTACTAACTGATCCGGTAGACCTCGAACCGCCTAAAATTTTCTCACCTTTAAACCTACCATGGACTGCAACGAACATTTTCAGACCAAAATTAGCCAAATCGGTTCAGCCGTTCTCGAGATAAAGCGAGACTAACGAACGGAAATTTATTTTTATATATTTACTAGCTTCTACCCGCGACTTCATACATGCAATCCCGTTTTCTCCTGTTTCCGTTGGATTTGTAGGATATTTTAACAAATACGACTAAAAAGTTTTGAAATCGGTCCAGCCATTCACGCGTGGTGCCGTGACCAAGGGAAAAGGGATTAATTTTTATAGAGGTATATTTAGATTATATTAAACGGTTTCAATGAACCCTATTCAACCAATCAAGCCCTTTCGTTACAAATCTATATTGGAGGCAGTTGATCATTATGGTGATCAAGACTAAAAGTGTACATACCATATAGTACGGGGTGACTTGTAACTCGACGTATGTCTTCACATTTTTAATGATTTGTAATCGGTTTTATTTAGCTGAAAGAAAGAAAGAAAATCCATTTTTTTTATAATAAACGTTGCCCCACACTAGGATTTTCTCCTGTATCGTGGGTGCGTTTACAAACACACAAGTTCACATACACATGACACCCAGACCCGGAACAACAATCTGTGGATCACACAAAGAATTGTTCCGTGCGGGAATCGAACCCGCGACACGTTACGCGGCAGCCAGTTGCACGACACACACGTAGACAAGAATACAGGCTCATATGTAGACAAGAATACATAGTTTGCCTCGTTTGTTTGTTTGGGTAGTAAGTGTAATTTTACCTTCCTAACGACAGATCGATATTCAGGGTGACGTTGTTAAAAATGTGACTAAAAGCTAAAACCCGAGACAGTTATGCAACTGTCTAGCCCGGTGTACCTCTAGTTGCCGCCATCAACAATTCAATGTTAGAAGTCCCGCATCGCTCCGTATCGACGCGCGAGTGCATTACCTAGCATTAAACATTCAAAGCTCGACTGGTGGACTGGGAAGGGGCTTACATTATATACTAGCTGACTGCACCGCTCACTGTACAATGTATTTAGCTGTGCACTCGACTGATGTGTTGTGTGCAATGTGTATCGGGTTCGATTCCCGGGTCTATATAGTTATTGCTTTTAATTTTTGCGTAGCGCGGACATTAGGATTCTTTCCTCTTATGACACCCAGACCCGGAATAACAATTTGTGGATTATACATAGAACTGTTCCGTGCGGAAATCTAATCCGGGACACAGTGCACAGCAGCCTGGAGCTGGTCACTGAGCCACTGTCCCAATCGTGCCGTCAAAAGTTGAGACGTGTGTATACCTATATATTTATTTATTTACTTGGACTCCCAACAAAAGGTACACACATGCTAAAATATTTTCCACTAGATATTACAATAGTCTTGTGTTCTTTTTATACTTAATAGGTCGACGTTTGACCACCATCTCGCCTGGTGGTAAGCGATGATGTGGCCGACGATGGAGCACGCCTACCCATGAGCAACCTGTCCACTCGGGACTTGAAGACACCCCAAGTCATATTTGTCGAGAAACAAAGTCTGGCAAGGAATTTCATAATGTTCCTTCAATTAAAGGGAATCACATCATGCAAATACAAACATACAGCAATTTAATTAAGTAAAATTAAATTTAATTACAAAAATGTCATGAAAATTCAAGAAAATATAACATCGGACATGTAAATCATGACAGAAAGAAAGAAAGAAAAACTTTATTTCACACGCTAAAACAGGTGACACCAATGATATTATAAATAATAAAAAGAGGTTTTACACATAAGTTTTTATAAGTACATCTACTAATGTCCCAAGTCTGCGGTGAAATGGGACCTACATAAGAAGTCAAACAATATCTATTAGATCAAACTACTCTTCAAACAAAACGAATTTCAAATTAAAAATATAACATCACGCCTTTTATCCCCGAAGAGGTAGGTCATAGTAGGTATAAAATGTTAAATCAAACAATCTCTGTCTGCCTCGTTGGCTGAGTGGTCGCATGTGCGACTGCCGGGCAAAGGATCTCGGGTTCGATTCCTGGGTGGGTTAAAGTATTACTGGCTTTTTTTAAAAAAAATCGGTTTTACCACGGATTCTGGAATTGTGCCCGGTATATAGCAATAGGCTCACCCCCTATTACATGGGACTCATAACATAAATAGTGAAAAGTGGGTGTTACATTGTACAGTGAGATAAAGTGCCTTAATGTGCACCTCTGCCTACCGCTTCGGGAATAAAAGGCGTGATGTTATGTTGTTGTTATGCTGTCAAATATTTTTTATAAATAAAAATTCAGAGTTAGGTACTGAAATTAGTTAATATAATCAAATACAGTGCCTACTTAATAATTAAAATAACATTATAAAATGTCCATACTTGCGTAAACTATGTATGTACTTAGGTATATAAAAAGTGGAATTTGAATTATTAAGCTATAGATATCTTTAATACTCTTATGTCGTGGGTGATTGGGCGCGTTTATAAACGTACAATTTCACATACACATGATACCCAAAACGACAATTTGTAGATCACAGAAAGAGTTCCTCCATGCGGGAATCGAACCTCCTACACGCTGAGCGGCAACCGGCTAGCTACCGCACCAACCGTGCAGTCAGTCGGCACATAATTAATACACGAGTAATATCTAAGTATAATTATGAAGTTTCATAACAGATAGTCCCAATAATAAACAATAACATTACACTCTGTAAGAAATACAGTAGAATAAAATAATTCATCGTAAACGACGTCGCTACAAAGTCACATCATACGAACATTTTCAATCTCCCCTCGATGCTTCTCGAAGCTTCGACGGACAAATTAATTAGCCAGTACATACGGCACATAGGTAGTCTAGGTGGGTGCAGGAACCCTTAGGTACACTGTGCAGACGGGCACTTACATAACCGGTACGCATGCGCGAGGGTGGGCCGCGCGGATCGATGCGGAGAACAGCTCGGCCGCGCCGGCCACAGCCCGCAGACATGGCCCGCGCCTAGTCCGAGCAACATGCGTCGCACCGGGACGCTCCTCCTGCTCTTCCTATGTTCAGTCCAAGCCAACTTGGAAGGCCCCTTCCTATTCTTCGGACCAAAATCCTTAGATAAATACAAAAGACCAGCTCTGAAGTACTTGGACCAAGATGAGCTGATGCGGATATACGGAGAGCAGGCGGCGATAGTGGTGTTCAACAACCAGGACTCAGTGCCGCTGTCCAGCGGGTACTTCCCGCGGCTGCGCAAGATACTGGAGCGGCAGAGCACGCTGGTGCTGCCGCAGGACTTCCTCGACGTGCACCCCGACTACATCAGCAACGAGACGCAGGTGGGCTTCTCTCTGCTTCACATTATTGTATTTTACTTTAATTATATTTAAGGTAGTTCATGAAACAGAGCGCCAGCATAACGGAGTCTTCTTCACACGTCACATTTGGAAACAACATGTCACGCTCTGTAAACTTAAACAAAATGTAAGTATCGTCACACTTTAGTTCATAAGAGTTAATGTAATTAATAATAAGTTATATTGTATTAATTAATTTATTATAAGTTCATCTTCTGACCAAAGAATAAAGAACTGTAGTTGTTTCTTCTATGGTTATGACTTAGTTGTAAGTTAGATAAGTTGCATGTTTGTCATAAGGTAGGGGTAGGGCCTCCAATGTGACAAAGAGGATCATATTGGGGCGTTCCGAGACCAACGACCACTTTACACGACGCCGGGGGCTTGAGTTATTGTGGGACAGGGCGGTGAGGCGCGACCTCTTTGCTGTAAATACTATTGAGGTATAACTGTCCCTCGCTTGGCAAGTTCCACAAACGCCAGTCCAATAGAATAGGAAAGTCAACCTTTGATATTGTTTTAAGTTTAAGCACAGACTTCAATTCTCTTCGACCAGCGTTTTGTTACTTGTCTAGTGGGACTTCTTCCTACTTATAATAAAGTTCACTAAGCAAATATATCTCAGTAATATACCGAGGTTATGTTCGAGTCGCTTTGTCCTATGGTAACTTATTATCCCCCCGGGGTCAGTAAGGTGGTCGTTGGTTTACGGGACGCCCAGTACTTGCCCACAGGTGCTGACGCTGCAAGGTCCCTGGTCGGAGCGTGATGCTCAGATGACGGAGACGTTTGCCAGGCTACAGGACATCTATGGTGCTGGTCGTGTGCTTGGGATCCTAGGTGTGTAAGCTAATTTCTACTTTATTTTTTTGGTGTGGAGTGGAATATTTATTAACTATTTTATTTGATTTAGTTTTTATGTGTAAATTATCGATACACTAACATTTGATTTTTCAATTTTCAGGTAACTCAGTGTCACAAAGTCAGTCAGCTGATTACATTGACGGAGAGCCGTGGGCCCGGGTTCGACGCCAAGCGCAGAACGATACGACATCGTCGACTACTTCTCCAGACGACGAGAGACCATCGAAAGTGATGCAGAAGTTTGCACTTTATAACGCTACAGGTGAAGTTCAATGTTAATTATCATTATGTCAAAAATTAGGACAAACATAATTGCTTGTCTTAATTTTGAGTAACGCGTCGGGAATAAAGGTGAGATGTTAAATGCATATTTTATAATTTCCAGGCCTGCCAGGCAAGAGCGCTCTCCTGTATTCGTCCGGATGGCCGGAGTTACGTCGTACGAACGGCAGCACCATCAGACTGAGCACTCCGGTCGGACAGCCGACCATCAAACCGACCCGGCTGTACACCATCATGGTCGTTCGGTTCGTTGACGGGGATAGCAGAGATAAGGTAGGCGGGGGAACATGTCATTCACATATTTTTAAGATTTTTGCGTCATATAGTTTCAATAATTCTTTAAAAAAAATAGTAAGTAATGGTACCGGTGATCGGTATGTGGCGAAAGGATCCGGTACTCATATCTCCTATTACATGGGATACATAATAAGAGGGTGAATTAATCATTATCTTTACCATTCTCGGCCCGCAACCATTTTCCGCTGGACGTGGCATTTCCATTACCACAATCTTTAACTTTTCTACAGTTATTAATGATCCAATTAACTATGTTTTTCAGATAACTCTCGAGTTCAGCTTCAAGCAGTCAGCTGGCTGGTGGACTGCAGTAGGAGTCGAGGTGAAGTTTGGCCTGGAGACGACGGGCATAAGTCTGAAGGCACCAGCGCCACCTGATGCACCATCCGCTGTACTAGGCCGATCCTACCATTGCTCGCTGCCACTCGTCTACTCATCTGAAGAAGCTACACTGACATTGCCTGACGTACAGGTATATATCATTCCAGTACATAACATAGCGAACGATGGTATGGCGTAATGTAACTTAATAAACATGTTATTTGTTTAATGTTTACAGATGCAGATGTTCATGGACAGCACTGAGAAGTTCTCTGATGCCTTCGACTGTATCGGTTTCACCACTGTACCGATCTGGTAAGTTATACTTATATCTTAAATATATATAATGACTTTATTGCACGGTTAACTAATGTAATGTTGTTGTCTTCAGGTCTGGTATAATGGTCTCCTTCATCATGTTGATCGGCCTGGGCATCTCCATCTCAATGATCCTCGACATCAAGACAATGGACCGCTTCGAGAACATCCGCAGCAAGCAGCTCACCATCACCGTCAGCGAATAAATCATTACTCTGTGCAACACTACATCTATAACCACACCTACCTATACTAGAGTATCGTATCTTAGTCATTAATCTCAGCTCTTGTTACTTTCCATAGTGCGTGGGTCAGTTCTATTAAAAGATGTCCTATCTGTGATCCGACCTACGTGCTATAGAAGTTGGTTTTACTTAGGTCTAATATGTATAGAACATCCATAAATCGCGGTAGCAGATATATCGTTATGTGTAGTCGCGATTTATAAGCATTGTCGCACGATGGATGCGGCACTGACTTTCTTCACAAACAACATAATCACTCTTTGAAGAGCTTCCTTAGGGTCAATATGGTCCATCACTAATTGGCCCGTCCCCTCAGTCACGTGGAGCGAGGCGCGCGTCTGGGTGCGGGCCTTGCTCCACGTGATGCCATCTCTTTCCATGCTGGTCTGGGAAGGAAAGAAAAACATAGAAGGGCCAGCTGCTTCTCCTCCCGCGCAAGTCGTAAGAGGCGACTGAGGGATCCGTGGTCACGCGGCGCACGGCGCGGGGCCTAGCAATCCCCCGCGCACTGAGCGCCGCCACCTCCTCAGCCAGTATTGCTAGCAACGCTCCAGGAGACAGCTCCTGGAGCGTTGCTCATAGAGTATTTTTGTACAAAACTAGGTTTAATAACGCATCAAAAAGCCGGGAAAACGCTTAGCTAATCTTAGTTTTATCTGTCTCTGTTCCTGTCCTCTTGTCTTTCCTTAGGTTAAGTGTTAAGATAGTGTTAAGGTAGTAATAAGCGAACATGTGTGGAAAGCATAGGTAAGAATGTCAATGATACGTATATTTAAGTGTAAAAATTAATATTAAGGATATTGTCGGTGGGAAAGACGATATCTTTAATTTAATCTCGCAAATATATTGTGAATATAATTGCATATCAAATGTTACTACACGAGTTTTATTTCTACTGAATACTAGATCCCTCCAAATGTTCGAACCTCATGTTGTCCTGGGATAGGCACTCCGACATCATTTAGAAAACACAAAGGTAAACATAATTAATACATCCCATAGCCAGTGACGTATCTACAGGGTGGACCGTTCTAAGGGGACCCCCGTTCCGCAGTTCTCAACTGATTTAATAGAAAAAATGGACCAATCCAAACAATTTGCCACGGGCCTCGAACAGTATAGTTACGCCACAGCCCATTACACTATTCGGCCACCACCGATCACAACCATACTACCTTATAAGCTGCCAGCAACAATTTAGTTCAGTATCTTGAGAACAATAAGCGACGTTATATCTATGAGATGCTGTTTGCAAGGCACGTTGTGTGCATAATTACGCCGGTCCTGCTGACCCAGTGTGTGTGATGTGGAGCCGATAACATGCTTGCACAGCCTCGTATCTGATGATGAGGAGCTGACAGGCGCTACATCAGACAGAGTTATTTTAGTTAAAGACGCAAGATATACTCATGTTCCACATTTCATTTCTTAATTTAGAATATTAAGTATATACATATATACATAACTTCACGCCGTTTATCCCCGAGAGGGCGCTTAATGCCACTGTACAATGTAGCATCCACTTTTCACTATTTATGTAGGGGGGTGGGCCGGGGGTGATCCTTTTGCCATATACCGGCCACATTTCCAGACTCCGTGCTACTACTGTTTTTTAACCTGTTTTTTTTAAACTCAGTAATACTTTGCCCGACCCGGGAATCGAACCCGAGACCCCTTGTCCGGCAGTCGTACTTGCTACCACTCGGCCAATAATATTAAGTGTGTATGATAAATGGGTAATTGTATTTGTTCTCCTGTTTTTATACCGTTCTTAGGAACAAGCATGGCCGATAGGATGTAATCGAGTAGAAGGATTACTGTGATGGCGAGCAATCGTCGCGTCGCTCATGGACGGATGGACGGACCGGTGATGGTGATGATGTCTCATTAATAGCGACCCAATCAATGGATAGTTTTCTCACATACTCTGAGATTCTCGTTACGTTTTGACGTCACACTCCGTAGCGTTTCACGACTTTACTACTACTAGTGTAAGTAGAACAGTCGGTGACATTGACACTTATGTGTTATGGTATTCATTAAAACAGTAACATTAATCAAAATATTAATTATAAATATTAATATTTTGAACGTGTTGAAATGAATATCTTAGTGTTATTTTTATTTTTTTTTATTTATTTATTTATATCAGGCAACGAAGGCCCATATTAAAATACAATAATACTATAATATCTACTACAATTTTAACTTAAAATACTATAAATACATAATGTAAGTAATAAATTAAAACACTAATTATCTATGTTCCCATTGTCTACCCCAAATAACTGATTACATTTTTTTTTGGCATAAGCCGGTAAACGAGCAGACAGATCACCTGATGGTAAGCAATCGGCGTCGCCCATGGACACCTGGAACACCAGAGGCGTTACAAGTGCGTCACCGGCTTTTTGGGGATTAGGAGTTTGAGGATCGTTGGGGATTCAGGGATTGGGGACATTGGGAAAGGGGAAGGTAATTGGGCCTCCGGTAACCTCACTCACACGACGAAACACAACGCAAGCGTTGCTTCACGTCGGTTTTCTGTGAGGCCGTAGTATCACCGAGCCGGCCCATTCGTGCCGAAGCATGGCTCTCCCACACTTAAGTAAATAAAAAATGGTTTGAGTAAATAAAAAGTATTAACAACTTCGTCCCAAATGGATAGCAAACGGATGAGTGGATAGGGACTATGGTTGCCTTTTAATGGGATTGATTGAAAGCGAGTATACGACATCAACCTATTCTTCTCTAGTAGGATTTTTATAATATGTTATTATAGATAAAGATAATTATATGTTTTAGTGAGTCATCATTGAGATACAGACGGAGAAGTAAGTCGCTTTCTATCGCGAGCTCAATAATCCTGGGCGGACTGGTTCTAAGTGTGTTATCAATAAAAATAGCATCGCATTCATTGAACACATTCCTAGACACTTACAACAGGTGGACATACTTTAAAATAAATAAAGAAGGGATCTTTTAAGCGATAGAGGGTATATTTTTTATGATGGAGAACATCATCCAACGACTTCTCCCGTCTCAGACAGTGTCAGAGTCTTATTGATATAACCACCCCGTCCCAACTCCTTCTCTTCGAGCCGGAGCCCCGGCAACCCGTTAAGTCTTCCACGGTTCCGTATCGATAGGAAGGGTCCTAAGGTTTTAAATAACTACGAAACGTCTTAAATCTCGCAGATCACAAGACTTGAACTTATTTTTGTACCTTTTGATTTTGAGTTATGTTAAGAGCTTCATGTACTTAATATGAATATATTTCGAATTTCGTGCAATGACTGAAAATTGTCTATACATTGTTATTTTTTTTATGGCATATGGCCGGTAAACTAGCAGATGGATCACCTGATGGTAAGCAATCGGCGTCGCCCATAGACACCTGGAACACCAGTAGCGTTACAAGTGCGTTACCGGCCTTTTGGAGATTAGGAGTTTGAGGATTGTTGAGGATTCGGGGATTGGGGAGATTGGGGAAGGGGGGAGGGAGCTGGGCCTCCGGTAACCTCACTCACACGACGAAACAACGCAAGCGTTGCTTCACGTCGGTTGTCTGTATGGCCTTATCACTCCGGTCGAGCCGGCCCATTCGTGCCGAAGCATGACTCTGCCACACTTAAAATGTTATGGAAAATTTCAATAATAAGTTGGTTCTAAAGCGATCGTTTTATTTTATTGGCATCGATAAAGTACCTTGTAAAGGCCTGAGACTCGAGACAAAAGCGAAAGTTGTATGAACATTATGATGTATGGCGCACTGTGGTGAACTATGGTGAACCACGAACCATCGGCTTGTCTCATCTTGTATCATGGCTTTCCCTCACTATAGGAACGAATGATAGGAAAATGTTAACCTGGATATATAAAGGGCTTTTTTTATACATTTTGTATATTTGACGTTGGGCCAACGTTTGCCTACTACCTCGCCTTGTGGTAAGCGATGATGACTTATGATCTTATAACAAGTGAACTGGCCTTGTATAACCTGAAGGTTTGGCATTTTTATAATGGTACACGTATAATTCCTTATATTATATAGTATGTTATCCAGTCCCACCACTTTTATTAAAGCGACTAGGTAATAAGCGTGTTTTTGTAAACAAGTGAATATTTCCCATAATGGGTTAATGTGTTTGATTGGAGCGAGCAAGTCATACGCTGTAGCGGGGTTGGATACAACAAAGACGAAGTCAACTGAGAGATACCAACAACAAATATTTATACAAAAATATAGTTGATTAAATAATGGCCATTTGAATGGGGTTTTTGGAGAAAAAAAATATCTTTTAGGTTTGTTTTCTGTGATGAATTTACAATTTTATTCGAGGTAGATCGAGTCAATTCGTTGTGGCGCTGGCAATAAATTCAAATCGCTTCGCTCAAAACATTGTACCACAGATCAAACTAATATTTCTATCACAGTGATAAACTTTCACTTATATAGTGCGCGGGCGACAGCGGGGGTGAGGCACGGATACACCGATACTACGGAGGGGGAGAGGGGGACATAGCAGCGATTATTGACAATTTATTTAAATGGCCTCCCGGTCGACATACTTGTCTCACTGGCCAGTGACCTACTGATGTAGTAGTACTATTAAAACTTTATTACAATACAATAAAGTTCATAATTTATTGAAGTAAGACATTGGGTTAGTGTAGTTTGATGTGCAGTCTGCGCAGGTAATCGATGTTACGATTTTCTTTCTATGGAACTGTTGCTTCGGTAATAGTACCTTGCTTACACATCTTACAATTTGTATGAGTTTGTGATTCAACTCATAGAGATCTTAAACATATTTTTTAGAGATAATCATTGGATCTTTTTAAACCTATAGACTTGAATGTTAAACAAAATATGACTGATACAGCCCACAGGAAGCCGCTAGATGCTGGTCACTTCTAATCGGCCTATCTTGGAGTCATTAGGAGGAGCCTAAGTCCAG